ACATCCGCGATGGGAGCTCCAACATCGAGGCGCGCGGTTCCTATTTTTTTCTTTTTCTTATTCCCCTCTCTCTCTCTCTCTCTCTCTCTCTCTCGCTCTCCTCGGCGGCCGTGTTCCAAATCAATCACACCACGACACTACACACTCCACAGGCGCGCGCGCCCTCGCGGCCTCCGCTCGCCGTGAGATGCGCAGAGAGGGTTGCGTCATGTATCAAGGCGCCATGTGCAGCTCGCGGGGCGTGGCGGGGCGCGCCAGGTGTCAAATCCAATAAGCCTGGTCTAGGCTTCCTCCTCCCCCTCTCCGTGCCGCTTTGCAGCTCGATGCAAACACACACGTCACGTCCCACAGCTGATGCAGCAGGAAGAGCCAGCCCTGGCGCGGGTACACACACACACACACCGGCAGAGCCATTTTAGTAGTTATTTGTTTTTTCCTCCCCTGCTTTTTATATTTTTTCATTGTGTATTCCGGTGGGCAGCAGCCAGGAGGTGCGGGGTGCGCGGGGGCTCTCCCCGTGCGCGCTGCGCGTGGTGGCCTTGGCAGTCGCGCTGCTCTGCGCTGCTCTGCGCTGCTCGCCTCGCGGCCACACGACCCGGGCGGACCAGGGCGGCCCTTTAAAGGAGATGCGCCGGCCACGCACTCGCACGCACCGAGGCGCGCTGGACCGAGGCGGGAGAACAACAACATCAACAACAACAACCAACAAGAGGATACATTACACACCGAAACGCAGAGAGGAGGAGAGATGGAGATTCTTATTTTTGCGAGAGGGGAGGAGAAGGACCCCAACGCCGCGCCGCCGCCCACGCGGCCGAGAAGCGCCTGAAACGAGTCGAGGGGAGGGAATGATCTTGGCCCCACCCGCGGGCGACAAACTTGAGGGCAGGGGCCCAGAATCAGACCAGAGGCGAAAGTGAGAGAGACCAAATCAAACGCTGACCCTCAAAGTCACCGTCCTCCGCGGCGACGTAGGCCTACCGGCCGGGGCCCGAGCTGGGCAGGCCATCGTGTCGTAAAAGAGACGGGCCCCGCAGTCTACTTTTCAGAAGCTCTAATAAAATTTCGCGGCCGCAGTAGGGAGCCCATCCTCATTCCAACCAGTACAGTCAAAAAAACAACAGCGTTGGGTTCCGGGTTCGTCCTCTGTCACCATCAAATGTTCCTGATAATTTTGTCCTTAAACTTCAGAGTCCAAATGTTCATCCAAATGCTTGTTTCAAAACAACGCACGATGTCACGAAAGTCGACAACAGGACGTTGTAAGTTTCCAACCCAAAATCTAAACAGAGTACGCCCCCGCGAGGAGACACGGCATCGGCTCGTCGTCGTGGTCCAACGTTGTCCGCCGCGGGGGATGGCGTCACCTCGCAACCCGCGGGCCTGCCCGTCATGTCGACGACGACATCGAGGACCACCGAAACATCGGCGGGCGGGGGTCTCGACCATCATCATTACGACGCCGTTAGTTAACGACGTCCGTTGCGCAAAGGTTCACGACGATGAAAACAAACAAGGTTCCTCCGTCGTAGCTGCTGCTGCTGCTGCTCCCCGCGGCAGACACAGTTTTTGTCTTCTTTGTATTTCCTTGTTGCTTTTCCACCAAAGCTGTAATTACGGTCGGGTCGGTAATGGTCGGGGGGAGAGGGGGGGGGGTGGCAGCTCTGCTTGTGCACTGATGGCAACGCGGTTTGTCGCCTACGAACGCGTTTTCAGAGCCGTGGATCATTCGAGGCGCCTGAAGCGACCGGGACGCCGCGCCCCACATCACCAGGCCCGTTGGCCCCACCACCTTCCCGTGCAACAGCAAACGAGGAGGAGGCGGTTTCTGATGTGAGTTTGTACGATTTCGTCATGTTCTCAAACTTTTTGTAATTAGTTTTCTTTACAATCGTGCGTTTTGTTGCAGTGGTTCATGATGAATGACAGGGCGTTGCCCATCCCGCAACCTCTCCCGCTCAACCTATTGGTGCCGTGGGCGG